TTTTCAAGTTCAAGCACAGTTAATGCCCTAAGCCCTAAGACATTTTATTTAATTTATGAGTCTTTACTCAGAAAGAGTATAATATAATATAATACGTTAGCCGACGCCACCTTGTGCATGATAAGGGCAGAAGACAGAAGAAAGAAGATTAATCTTACTAAACACGTATGAGTTTAGTAAGGTTGTACATTTACTTTTAGTAAAACATCAGCTCGAACAAGTAACCGGCGCGAAATTACGGTACCTAAGGTAAACCATCGCGCCCTGTGAGTGCGGTAACCGTAGGCCGACATTTCAGTCGTTCGTAACCCGGATATCCATATTAAAAAAAAGGATTGTTCAAAAATATTATTTACATAGAAATTTTTTTTACGAAAAAAGAACCGCGGCCGCCCATGAACATATGCAACATCGGAGTGCAAATGCAAATGCATTGCCGGCCTTATAGGAAAGAATGTCTGTCGTACAAAATGGTTCTTTCTAGCCTTTTTTCGTGGTGCTATCGTGAATTTCCGTGTCCGGTTATTTGACGAGGACGTGATGTGTTTACACACGAATAGGGAAATGTTATGGTCGGTAAACTGCACCTGCGCCGGTAACCCTAGCAGTGCGACCGCAAAAGGTGTTGAATGACACACTTCTAGGTTGGATATAAACGGTCGCGGTGGATCATCAATGTCGGCATCAGCTGCCGTGCATACATTTTTCAGCCGACTAGATGGGCACTTACCCGTGTAAATAACAAAGTCGGTACGTTGAGGCTATCTAGACCAATCACAGCTGCTGAGACAGGGCCCTTTTTCGTAAGTAATCGTAAAAGAAGTGATCGGTCTTTTAGCAACTGAATGATTTCAAGCCAAAAGGCCTACTGCCTTTTCATAATCTGAATGTTCTGTATTACCATTGACTACAATCAATACTGTAGTACTCGTATAAAATGTAACAATCGAAAAATGTGAAGACAAAGGACAATTGTTTTTAACATCATACACAAAGTTTTAAACAGTCCCTTATTTAGTATTTCCTTAAGGTTATAATCGGTATATATCGACCAACGGCAACGAGGTTATGACGAGTGATAATCTCTTTGAAGGACTTACGGGCGTTTATAAGAAAATACATTTTTGTAATATTCACTGGCGGGGCAAAGGGTTAAAGGTACTTCTATCGGTCGGATTTCATGTTTGGATGACGATGAGATGTTTAAGTGGTCACATCACATCACACAATACATTTCAAATTTGTAGTTCAGTAGAAAAAGCTACTCAAATCAAAACATAATTTTAATAAACAGAAAGGTGCTCCGCTGTCCCAGGTAGTGTGCAAAACTCCACATAAAGCCTCGAGTTAATTGAAATAATACCAGATTTATGATGTCAACGAGTCTAGGGAACCAAGTGACATCTAAGAGGATTTTCTACTCTTAGATTACTTACTCATCTATATGACGTAATATTATTAAAATGGCCATCTATTTTACCGAATTAGATATTTAGGAAACAGAAGGCCCGTAGTTATAAAACATATACATATGATATACGATGACTCCGTGGCCCAGTGGCCAACGTATTGGCTTCGGCGTCGGGGGTCGTAGGTTCGATTCCCACACGGGACAACTATTTGTGTGATCCACAGATATTTGTTTGTCATCTGGGTGTTTGTCCACGTGAAATTTATGTTTGCAAAACGTCCTTACAACAAAGGATATTGTTATCCTAAAGTAAGGGCAATGTTTAAAAAAGAGAAACAAAAGAAATATATTTTCTAAATGCGATCTACTAAGGGCTGCTCAAAGAGTGTGTAAAGGAAACAAGGCCCACGATGGGATAAACAGGAGAAAATTTAGTTTACTTAGCTTAATGGAAAACTTAAATTATTTTGTTTAGAAAAGGATTAGCTTTAGATCTAAGCCTTCTCAAAACATTTCCGTTTAGCAATATCGTAAAGTTCATCTCCAGCATTCCTTCTTTCTCACAATGTTCCTCCTACAATTGACTTTAAATTGTGCTCATTCTAGATTGTAAACGTCAACTACACCACCAGCTGTGGTTTTATTCGGATACGTTTTTGAGAAGTCGATGTTTTAAACATCTCAAACCTGTCTTCACCAATTAACAATATTGGCGCACTGACGAATTTTTCGCCGTTGACAATGTAGTTGCAACGGTAAAAGACCCATCGAAGTTGACGCATTAAAAGCAAATATGTCTTTTAGGCGTGTGAATAACCAAATTTAAAACTAATGGACTGTTTATCACTTATTTGTCGCATTTCTAAACTACGTTTTTCCGCGTGTATTTTTTTTCTCAATGTTTACAGATATAAAAACTCATTGGTCAATAAACAAACCAAACACTTCTTGGTGTTTAATTTATGAACACGGAATATGAAAAGCCCTTGGCCTCCAAACTACGAAATACCGCGAAAGATTCTTAGGTTATCTCTAATATTACTGTTGTTAATTCTTGAATCACACACAAATTGGTTATTTTTTCAATCAAATTTTTACCGTCGCGCCGTCTGCCACGGTTGGTAGGAGCACGGAGGTACTTTTCCACCAGGAACCCATGATTGCAATTTCGCATCGTGGGTAACCAGTTGGGGGAATGCGGACTCCTTGGTCTAATAGGGTAATGGGCCGCGGGATGTGGGGTGACTCGTTGTGGCGGGCGCTGTGAATGGAGCCGAGCGGTACGCCCCCCTCCACCCCGCCCTCCGCATATGCGCGCGCATAAATACGTCCGCGCTGCCAACCGGCCTCAGTCAATTTCGGAGTGCCGTGCCAGGTGCTCGTCCCTGTCAACCAGAACGCAACGCAACGCTACGTACGAGCGCGCGACTTTGAAACCACTACCAAGGTACTGTACACAAAGGCCACTTCGCTAGGCGAGCGGGCGCCGCCGGTGGCCATTCCGCCTTTTCGCGTCCACCACCCGCCCATACGCTGGCTGCATTGCGAATTGCAACACCAGCCAAACCGCACAACTGGCCGGTGCATCATTTACGCGCGCGACATGCAAAGCGAAGTTTTATGCCCCCCACGAGTTCTCCTCGGCGAGGGCTCTCATGCATTATATACGTGCTTTACTCCCGAGTAGTCAACACGAGTGCGATGAACAGTGCGACTTCCAACCAGACTCACTTTCAATGTTTACAAACTACTAAACTAAATGTCAACTTGAATCGTCCAGCGTCGAAGGAGCGTTCAACGCAATGTATCGCTTCACCACATGACTGCGGTTCTTTTGCATCTTGTTGAAACTTTCGATCCGTTCAATAGAGTAATTACGATTGTGTTCGAGTCTGCTTTAAACAACGTCTAACCGAAATATTTAAATATCTGCTAATCTGCTCGGTAATTTCTGTACTCATAACTGAGGACATATTGAAATTTCTAAATCACCTCCGTCTCTCTAAAAGTTTGACGTTAATAATTAAATCCGCAGTGTTTTCTTCCAGCGTTTCAATTGCGTCTTAAGCGTCAGCTGAGACTGAAGATTCCGTATGCGTGAAGGATCGAAATCGTAAACCTCGATTGGCGATGGAAAATTTTACGTGTGCCGAGAGCCCAGTCTACTTATATCTCTGTTCTCGAGTCTCGTTCGTTTGACCACTTTAATTAGACCATCGTGTTGGATGACCATTTAAGATAGCATTCGGGTGGTTTATTAGTTGTTTTAGCAAAAGATGATTTGTTTTTCTAGATTCAAATGTTATTTTCGATTCCGTTTTTTTTAATGCATTTTAATGGCTTATTACTGGTCTCTATCTAAGGCATTTTAATAACCCACTTTTAAAATTACGCGTCAATAGCACGTGACAAAGATCTGCAGTGGAAGTACAAGTTTTGCAAGCCATAAGTTTACCTTCTTAAAAGACCGGTTTGAATACGGGATAACTACGTAACTAATAAAGATATTTCGTTTCTGCGTAAACATGGATTGCATAGCATTCTGTGTAAAATACAGTCATGAAACTAATCATTAAAAAAAATGTTTTTCGTTTCATTCGATGAGTTCTTTGGCATATGAAATTAATTTAACGTCAAAATGTTTAATGTAAATGAATACCTTTCATCAACGACAAAAAACTCAAATTAACACAAAATTTTGTTCAAACCTGTATCGAAGTGATTTCGCTTTTCCACTCATCTCTTTGTACACTCATTCGTTTGTACAACTTAATTCATTAGTTCATAATAAATGGAGAAGTCAGCTCAGACAAGTTTTAGGAAACTTTCGCATGAACAAAGTGCGAGAATGTCCATATTGCATACGGCCGGGAACGAACAGCAAGACACCTTAGCCTCAGGATAGTCGAAACACAGTGGAATAATGTCAGGGATTGTCCATGCCGTTATGCATAAGAGGACACCTACGAATAGGTTTCAAAACGCAATCGAATATATCGCACCATCTACGATCGCGAGCCGCGGCTCTTTAAAATGTAGGGGCATCCGCATTATGACATTCGGTATCTACAGATAGCAGTTACTAGTGCGTTATTAAGACTTCTATTAATACAACTGATAGCCGATAAAGAACGCGACTCGGCCGGTAGCGGTCAAAATTCGACAATGACGATTCACTTTTAAGGATTAAAACGCAAATTCAATGTTACCGATGTAATGTCGTCATCTTGTTTCGATATTTTTTTTCTTGTTGTGTACTGAAACAATGCACGAAATTGAGGACGACACCTAACTGCTTTGTTTCAACATTTTTATGTTCGAATGGAAACATTGAAAAAGGAGAATCGGTCATCAGGCCGATTGGAAGACCTTTTTGAAACAATGAAACACCTGACTCATGCCATACAACAAAGCGTCAATAATAATTTACTTTCAAATATTTTCCTTATCGCATCGAAAGCGCATTTTAAGACTAAGCGTGAAACATACTAAATTTAACGCAAAGTTTACAAACGGAAAATACCCGAACGGAAAGGCCCTTTTGATCGCGTGTACGCCTAAAAATATTAAGCTTCTCTATTTCCCCCATACCGAAAACGTCGTTTGCCTCGTTGAGTTTACGAGCAACTACTGAAGTTTTCAAAATAATATTGTCTATTCTCGCATCTAACTGCGGGACGTCTTACTAAATTTCATTTCATACAAACGCGTCAGCCCTCGTGTAGCGTAAGGATGGGGGCACTCACAAACTTTCGTAAACATTAGCGCGACTCACGCAAAAGTGTCGTGCGTTCTTAAACTGGCGAACAAAGAAAGGCCGAAGACTTCGCTCGAACGCGAGTCACCAGCAACGTACGTCGGTGCGTAAAACTATGCCCAGCGAGGTCGGGCGGTTGCGCACGGCGTATGCTTTGCGCGCGAAAAAACGCCCGTAAGTCGTTGACGGCCTTCGTATTATCTGTATTTTCTAATCGCTAAGAATTTATCACATACTCTCTATCTAATGTCTCCGCTCCTCCTTTTCAAACCGAACCGAATCGAACTGGCCAGTGAACAGTTCTTAAGAAAAAATTATAGTCATGCTACCTAGCTTTGACATTTCATTGTATCGTGATTCAGATATTTGCCTGCAATCTTTTACAGCCAAATAAAAATACATATTTGTTTCATTTCAGAAAAAAAAACATTGTTAAATATAATAACACGCCTTTGTATCGTCATACTTTTTAAAAGTCTATTTGAAACTTGAATTCTAAATTATTACTCATTCTTTGTTTTTCCCTTATGTCACTGGCCGGTTCTCGGAAAAAAATATGCAGTCTCCACTGCTCAACCAGCCCTTGCGCCAATGGCCGCGAACTTTTCCGCGCGTTAACTATTTATAGCGCCCCGAATACAAGGGCGTCGGACTGATTCTCTTTCTAACAACATTTCAGAGATTCGAGCAACGAATATCATAAAGTAAGAACTCCACCGTAAAGGTCATGCGGATTTATGATCTAACTATAGGTTATGGTTCGGACTTAGCGTTTTTCGTAGCAAAAAGTAAACACGATAGAAGAAATTAGTTAAGCGAAATATTTCATTGTTTACCATACCCGACATTCTTGCAAGGCCTTCAAATCTCTTTAATGGCTCAACAAACAAAGAACAGAAATACTATAACACGAACAAAGAAAGAACTATTTATCTTTAATATTAATAAAATACATAGTTGTCAATTCGTCTTGTGGTTTACAAAAAAATGTTCCATTATGCCTTTTTTATTTTCTAGTCGGATTTATTACTTGAGTTAGTTAATAAAATATATACGTCGTTCGACGTTTCTCTTTATGGAAATGAGTCGCGGTTATTTGTTGTTATTATAACCAACGAAACAGAGAAACTATTTTTTTAACATTGCCCTCACGTAGGATAACGTGATCCTGTGTTGTAAAGACGTTTTACAAAAATAAATTTCATATGGACAAACACGCAGATTTTGTACCGCGGGGGAATGAACGCGACGCCAAAGCCAAAACCTTGATAACTGAGTCATCAAACTGGCTACCTAAAAATTTATAAAATTTATTCGAATAGATACTCTAAGTTGTTACACAAAACTATATTTACGGATGTTATCCAGTTTAATTTCAAATTCACGACGTTTCAAAATTCTCTAAATTATCTAAATTCTTCTTGGTCACTGAACATATTGCCCCGAATGCATTGATGCCGTTGATAACACAAGTTCCATTTAAAAATACACGTACATGTGTTCTTATGTATGCACGTAAGAAGTTATACTTCTTTAGCGTAACAAAAGAAAAACAACTAAAATATTAAATACTAAAATATTTTTTTATCCAACTTATGTAGGTACATGTGCTTAGTCATTCATGCCAGACGGTATTCAATAAACTTTAACAAACCATATTTATAAGTATTGAATAACAAAATGCGCAGTTTCATGTACCTATCGTAATGTACAATAATTGCGATATGCTTATTGTTGTTTTGCGCGCTATCATTCTATAGACAATAATTATTATTCAAACACCGGTGTCGATAAGCCATTACAATAGACTGACTGACACTCCTCATCACATGTGAATGACTATTATCTGTGGAAAAACAATGTATCCTTGCATATCTAGGAATTCCCGCCTAAATTATTTTTTTGGCTACAACCTAAGACAAGTAATTGATGTATCCAGCCCACGATAAAATATATATAAATGTTTAAACCTCCGTTGGATATAGCCTGACCTATTTAGCTACTTTTAAATCGAGGCATTTGAAACGTTAATAGACCTTCCACGCTTCGAAATTTCAATTATCAGAAACAATCGAAATGGTGCATAAAAGTAAAGTTTTACTTAATAAGATTTCTTACTGCGTAGTATTTTAAACGTTGCTTAGCAACAGGACGTATAACGGGTTAAGAATTTTTACAAAAAGAAAGAGAGAGAGAGCAAAGAAAACATTTTTGGAATCGAATCTTTCGTCAAAAATTTTTTTGTTTTCGGAATTCGTATTAGAATCATCTAGGACTAAGATATTAATCTTACCTACATTATGTAACTTATGTTTCATGGTAAAAAAATTGTTTCCAATTCAAACTACACAAAAGCTTAATTTATCCGCATGTAACTAAACCAGTTACTCAAAAAACGATATGCGCGGAAACCCCGGTGATGGCAGAGTGAATAAATATACAAAAATACCGTAAACTGTAGGGAACAGGAAGCGTTTTCAAAACATTAAGGCCGGTTTCTGAAACACTGATCACCGAAATTTAACTAATCAGCTGTCTAATGGCTTTTCAAATTTTATTTGAGTTGCCAAAAGGATGGTTACTCTCTTTGAAGAATATCATTGTGTTCAATTCGGGGAGTTTTCAACATCATTTTGCCATTGACATTTGAAAAGCCATTTGACAGCTAATTAGTTGATTTCTACGATGATCAGTGTTTGAAACCGGGCGTAATTGGACGAAATTGAGAAACCAAACAACGCTACTAGCGCAGGCAGGGGGGGGGGATGACGCA